GTTGTTTACCCGGTGGGGCCCCAGGAGGAACAGCCGCAGTTGCTATGGCAACTCTGGAAGCCTGGATTTAGGCTCCGCAGGAACTACGGGGCTCGGGGCTCTCGGTTCTCCGTCCGCAGGGCCTGGAGGCTCCGGGGCGGGGCCGCTGATCTGCTCAGCTCGGGGCAGGAGCGTCCTCGCTGTCCTGGGCCCTCCCGGCCTCTGCCTGTCCCGGGGGAGGCGGGATCCTGGGCTGTGTCCCGGCGCCCTGTGCTCTGGGGCCTGCGCTGTGGGATTCGCGCTCCCGCCCCGCAGCCCCCTCCCTGGAGCCGCCGCCCGAGCCCCTCCAAGCTGCTCCGGTCGGTCCCACCATGGGCGCTGTAGCCCTTAGGGAGCTCGGAGCACTCCCCCGGGGCGCAGGTGTCTGTTAGTGTCCCAGGGAGCCCGAGGGCATCCCCGCCCTCCTGGGTCCTGCTCCAACTCCCTGCGAGCCCCTTTCCGCCCGCCCGGGAAGGTTGGTGCAGCTCCTGCTCCTCCGGGACGGGGCTCTCCTGTCCTGGGGACACTCGCCCCGGCCTCAGCCCGGCTCCTCGCGGGGCCCCTCCCCCTCGGAGGCCTTTTGTTCCTTTATTTCTTTTTCCCCGTCTTCCTACCTTGATAGAAGCGCGGACTCTTCTCACTGTAGCATTCCAGCTGGTCTCTCTTTACATCTCAGGCCAAATTCGTAAGTTTTCAGGATGGTTTGAAGGTTATCTAGGTAACTTGGTGGGGACAGGTGATTTGGGGACCCTGCTCTTCTGCCATCTTGCCCCTCCCCCCTATTAAAACAGTCTTGATGAAAATACAAATTATTCTTTGAGGTGGTGTGCAAGCTTCGTCCAGGGCACCTGCTCTTTGTGACATGGTGAGTGAACAGGAACAACAGGTGCAAACCTCGCTAAGCGGTCGGTCTCCTGGCTCTCCTAGCCCACTCTCCTCCTGTCTTGGTAAAATTTTGGGTTAACTTTGATGGATACCAATGTCTCTAGGATTCAAGTTAGTGATTAATTCTCAAGTTGCAAGGTATAAATTATTTTTTCTTATCAGTCAAACACATTACTTGGATGCCGTCTGTAGGAGGGCATTCCTTTCAAGTAAGGGCATTCCAAGTCCTGAGCCACTGAATCATTGTCATTGTCACACCTGTCTGGCAAAATAGCTGTTAGCAAAATGAAAAGATGATGTACCAAGTGCTACCAGTGGTTGTGGTTCTAGGCTTCTGACTGGTTCTAGAACTGGCTTTTATTATCCTATTGATTTATTACCTTGTTCTAGCAATGGCAACCGTAGCAGTGAGAATCACTAATGTTTGTGGAGGACTCTGAGGTGGCAGCTGTGCATCTGGCTGTGCTGTATTAGTTCATATGAATCCCACCGCCATTCTCTGAACGAGGCACCGTGATCGCCTCTGTTTCAGGCACAAGAAGATGGAGGTTGGGAGAGCCACTTGGTTGTCCTCACACAGCTTGTGAGAGTCGGACTTCTGAGTCCAGGCAGCATGAGCAATGTGGGGCAGATTTAGATTTGGCTCTATTTTGGGAAACTTTCAATGGCAGTGTGATGAGAGGCCTCGCTGAAATGGAAAGATGCTAGAAAGTTTTAAAGTATGCTGCAACCAAACGTGTTTAAGGTTGTATAATTCTTTTTTTTTTTAAGATTTTATTTATTTTAGAGAGAAAGCAAGCACAAGCAGAATAGGAGGGGCAGAGGGAAGAGGGAGAAGCAGGCTTCCCGCTGAGCAGGGGCCCGATGTGGGGCTCGATCCCAAGACCCTGGGATCATGACCTGAGCCAAAGGTAGATGCTTAACTGACTGAGCCACTCAGGTGCCCTGGTTGTACATTCTGACATATATTCTGATGTCAAGAATCAGTCTAGATCTTTGTAACTGGGCAAAATTTTACTGTGTGGTGATTTTAGGTGCTCTGCCCCACATAAGATGAAAGCCATTTGAGGGCAGTATTGTAATTATGGATTTTGGTGTGTTTTTTTTCCTATGTGACTATCTGATATTTGATAACAAAGATCAAATTACCTAAAGCTTATAAACATGTCCATGATGTGTTTCTTGCATGTACCAGTAGGTGGTCTTATCATTTGCAGTTATTTCTGTAGGCATGATGGTACTTTGAGCAGAGCCATATGCTCTCTACCACCTATTTTCTCACAGGAGTAGGTAGGTATGCAGGACAGCTTTGGTGGTGTCCACGAGCCACCTTTGCCTATTAGGCTCTGGAAGAGGAGAGAGGGAAAGACTGCTTAGAGCTACGTCCCTGGTTGTTTTGGCATTAAGATTCAGATTCTCTATTTAGAAAGACATGGTCCATAGGGAATGAGAGGGTGAGAAACTTGAGTGTAAATTTGAGAAGGGGATCAATCTGACAGCTTCTGGTGCAGAAGGGCATGAGAAGTGAGGAGCTGTGGGGCCCTTACGTCTGAAACTTGCCACCATCATCCTCTGTATTGGATCCAGAGGAGGTACTGTGGAGGTGGTCCTTGAAGAAACTCCAATGCAGACTCCTCATAGAATGCCAGCCTAGAGTGCAGAGCTGGTGGTAGGGTATATTGTGTGTGGGCCATTTATAGCATCTTTTCTCCAAAATAACAAAAGGGATAAAATGTTGCTTGAGAATGGGATTCCAGCTTCTCCTAGCTACTTTTTCACTGAATGTCCCTGTGATCGCTGCCTCATTCTTTATAGATTGAATTGAATTCCCATGATGCTTTACAAATGCTTTCATAGTTTAGGTGTAATTAAGAAAGGAAAGAAAGCATAAGCCCAAGAAGAGCATGAGGGAGCCTATTTAATCCCCAGAAAATAAACTTTGGGGTGAAATCTTGGTGAAAGCTGTGGAGTGGTGTTGCTTTGAAAATGAAGAAGGAAAAAGGAGTTCCTTCAGTGTTTTCTTGATCTAGAGACCTGGCTAGAAATGGCTATAAATTTTCATTAATGTTATATATCTGGCTCCTCAGAAAATGATATTTAAGATGAGTTGAACATTAAAGCTTTGCTGAGGATAGACACGAATGGCCTTTTGGTTTCATGGTGATCATGAATTTTGCTAATGATAGAGCCAAGGGTAATGCAGTAGTTTTTACATGACTCAGGGAGTAGCTTGTCTGATGCTTAAGGGGAAATCAAGCTTGAGTCCTTATTTAATGGGAGTATTATTGAAGAAAAAAATTGAGATTTGAAAGCATAGAGGGAGGTAAAGTTAAACTTTTTTGGGTGTAGGGGTGGGGAGGAGGGCATGTCATAAACATTTTTTCTTGAATCTTACAGCCTTACCACTTGATCCCAGCACTGCTTCGGAAAATCGCAATGTAATATACTGGTTATGATGTTGATGAAAACATACAGTGAAGAGTAAAAGCACTGAAAGCAAGCCTGTGTCCTTTAGGGCTGAGGCACCTGGGTATTCATTTTGTTAGCCTACACCAGTATATGTGAATGAAGGTGTTTCGATATTGACCAAAATGCTTAGGATTGTTTTCTTAAAATATATCTTGATGACTGTACTTGCTGGAATTAGCAGCTTTTTCTGGGTCATGATAATTGCATTTTCAGAAACCATTCCTTCACCTCAGAGCTATGTCCAGAGGCTGGTATAAAGAGGGGGCTGTATGGTCACTGCCCTTGACGGCGTTCTTTCTCACCTTCCATTCTTCTCGAGTCAACATCTGTGAGGCAAGACTGTTGGTTGGAGTTGGTGGGTTTGATATGACCCCAGGTGGAGTCTGCTCTCCCTGGTTGCCCTAGGGCACGGCTCTCTGGTATTGCTCAAATTGTTGACGTGGTCACAATGTTCACACTGCGAAGTTGTATGCAGTAGACCATATAAAGAAGGGATTGGCTTGTTTTGATTTAAAAAAAAAAATAACACAACTCAGACATTTTTTAGCAGAAAATGTCTTCTTTTAGGTCCTTCAGTGCTAAGAGCAGTTGGCTAGCCTTAGAGTACTTATGGGCAGTTGACTCAGAGATGGGTCTATGCAGCATGGTTTTTATTTTTTCCTCCCTCCTTCTTCCCCACCCTCCTCTCCTCCCTCCCTAGTGAACTCTCTTTCAGTTTTATAATTCTCTGCTGATAAATTCCAGCAATATCAGAAAAAAGATGAATATATCTATTAAAGGACATGTTCCCTCCTTTTCTTTTATAAAGGAGTATTATAAAAGGAAAATACTACCTTTATCAGAAGCATATAGTAAATCTGTTGCTAAAATGGTTTTCACGCTTTTTTAAAAGATAGTTTTATTTTATTCTTCAAGGTGAAGTTGCCACAAGTAATTCATTGCATTTGAATGAACAGGCTTGTAATTCAGTTGGGTTTATCTCCTATTGCAAACTCCTTAGTTTTTTTGATAGAACTTTTGGTTTTTAAAATTGTGTGTGTACATATACTTGGAACTGTGTGTGTATCTTAATGTAGTCTAGTCCGGAAAGCATTAGAATTGGTAAAACCTTGGGTTTAATGCCTCCTGAGACTTGGAACAAAGAACAGTTTTGTGCAGAAGCTCCATCTTTGCCAAATGTAGCCTTAACTCCTGCTAAACTAATAATGGATGGATTTGGATCTTAACACATGAGATAATACAATTTTTTTTGAAGGTAAATGCCTTTGGTTTTAGGCATTTCTTTTTGGGAGACTATATTGAAAGGCAGGTGGATTCCAAAATGGGAAAAGCAAAGTCCTTAGAAGATCTTTGGGGATTCCTGGGTGGCGCAGTGGTTTAGCGCCGGTCTTTGGCCCAGGGCGCGATCCTGGAGACCCGGGATCGAATCCCACGTCAGGCTCCCGGTGCATGGAGCCTGCTTCTCCCTCTGCCTGTGTCTCTGCCGTTCTCTCTCTCTCTGTGACTGTCATAAATTAAAAAAAAAAAAAATTAAAAAAAAAAAAAGAAGATCTTTGTCAGGCTGTTTGCAATAGATCAAGTTGTTAAAGAGGAGAAACTTAAAAACATCTTTGTCCTTGTGATTTCAGGTGTGATTACTGTTCTGAAGTGGACATTGGAGGAGGACCAGGTAAGCACTGCAGTAAGCAGATATCTACATGACTTTGCGTAGACCCAGGATATTTGCCGTGGGGAGGGAGAAGATCAAGTAGTTGAGTCAAATGTTGCCATTTGGAACTGTCAAAATACAGACCCCTAGTCCCAAAGGACTGAGAGATGGCTCTAGCAGTGCCACCCCAATCCTAAGGGTGTCGACGTCTCCATCTATCTGGGTAAGGCCTGGTGGAGTTAATCTTTTGGGATAATTGGGCAAGGATATTTTATCTGTCTAGCATTAGTAAAGTGACTGGAGCAGAAGGCCATTGATCACTTTATTCAGTCATGATCCAACATGACTTTAGTTGAACATGGCCAGTTACCCTTATATAGAATGGCCGATTCCTTCAGAGCAGTCCAACTCAGACCTGACATAGAGGATCATGAGGTGAATATAAGTAAAACTGATGAATTGGAGAGTATGATTGCTAAAGATGGCACAATCTCTGAACTGTGTCTGTATCAAGGAACCAAGTATTGCTCAAGAATACTTTCCTAAGTCCTCATTTATGAACATATTTTATGGCAGAAGAAATTTGCTAAGCACTTCCTTGTTTGAACAGTCTGAATAGTGTGTAGTGCTTAAAATCGCCTCCCAGGCCACCCTTGAGAGTTAACTTGGTAAATGAGATGTTAACTTGGGAGCAGAGTATCTGGATTTCACAGCCTGATAGGATTTGGGTGTCAAGGATATAGGGCTAACAGAATGAAACATTAAACATTCCTAATTCCTGTTTCATTTATGTATGTGGGTCTTTGAACAAACTTTGTCTCTAACATCACAGACAAAAAAAAAAAAACAAAACAAAACAAAAAAAAAAACACCCACCCCAGCAACTCATAAGCAGGTGAATGTCTGATGTGAGTAAAAAGCCTTAATGTTAGAGCTAGAAAATCATGTGACCATGTGACTTTTATCAGCAGCTTCTCTCTAGCTGTCACCTTGAGAGTTTGTCCTGCTGGGAGAAACCAGAGAAACAAGACGTGTCTCCTTCAGAACCTCAAAGGGATTTTGAATTTCTGAGGATGTGGGATTTTGTCTAAGATGGAGCAAGTGTATTTAATCCACCTCTTCCCCTACCCCACCACATACACACATCCCTTAATTGGAATGGGACTTCATTTCAAGGACTGTACAACCGAACAGTGTATCTTCAGGAGTCTGTTTTGGCAATTAGTTCACTGTTGACAGATAGGGCAAGTTCATGCACTGCCTGCTAAGATTTGCCAGGCATGGCAGCTGGGGGCAGCAGGCTGATGTCGTGGAGACCTGGAGCTGGGTCTGCAGTCGCTAAGACCCAGCTGCTGTAGCTTATGCTGTGGGAAGGATGAGTATCTTTTTGCCTTTCCTGTGCTGAGATTTTCTTTTTAATATCCATGTCTGCCCCCACCTCCTGCTCTCAGCTCTGCACTGTGTGGGGTTGACAGCCTTCATGGAGCGGGCAGACGTGTTGGCACCATGTGGCACTCCTGGGCTGTGTCTATCTGCCACCAAATATGTTGTCACCTTCCCTCTTGAGCATGCCATATCTAGCTGTCTTTGGAGGGGCCTCTTGGCTCCTTTGGGAATAACTATTGAAAGAGCAGCTGTCTGTCAGCCTCCTCCAGAGCCTCGAATTGGGCTATTGTCAACCTGTTGTTGGAGGAGTTCCCAACACAGCAGACTTGGCTGTCATTGACATTTATAACTTGAAAGCCATACCACAAATGAGTTTGCATTTCTTAAAATCCTTTAAATAGCCCTTAGAATGTGAAGCATGTGGCCTTCATACCCTTGGGCACCCCTCAGGAGTGTGGAAATAGTTGGGTGTTCCCGGAGGAGGGGAAGTGGGTTACCATTCTCCCCACAGCATCTCCTTTCTGATTTAGGTAGGAATAGGTTGTCCTGGCTTTGTGCTTATTAAGTTTATGTATAATCATATGAGTCCATTTAGGTCAGGATTATTGGCTTCTGAGAACAAAGAACTCTTTAACTCTGATTACCACAGAGCCTGTGATAAGAGAGGAAAATTGATGTCAGAAAAGGTTTTTCAAAGGGGTTGGTAGATCTCATACCTGTTTTCTTTTTTTTTTAACGCCCTAATTTTTCAAAGAACCAGCTTCTAACTTTCATTTCTTGAGACATGACCAGAAGAGAAAGATGCGGTGTTTGTGGTAAAAATAAAACCAGAGCCACACCAGTGGATCTTGTGAACACATATTGCCAAAGAAATTGGGGAAAGTGCAGAATGGAATCAGAATGGTTTTTACTTACTGAGGGAGTAGTTAGACTTTAAAACCTTGAGGGCTGGGACTGGCCATCCCGTTCTTCATACCACCAGTGGCTAGCACAGAACCTGGCCCGTGGCGGCCTGGGGAGCCGAATGAATGAGTCAGAAGAAGGAAAGGTTTTAGGTAGAAAACGTCTGTCTGTCTTTTTTTAATCCTGGTAGTACAGACATTGAAATATGTTAATCATCAAATCCAGATTATGGGATTTAAAGTTAATGATGTTTTCCTGTTGGTGTCAAGGATGAGTAATCTTGGAAGAGGCGGGGGCTTCCATGGCAGGCCTAGATGCGATTAAGATGACACCCCTTCACTGCTTGGGCTCAGATGTCTTTCCGTGGTTCCCAGGACGTTTGTCATGTCTCAGGAAATGTCAGTGCCTGATGCTGGCTGCATGCTGGGCAGCTCAGTCTTCTGCCATGGTTTGCTAGCTCACCTGGAGCGGGGTAGCTGTGGGCTCTTGAGCCACCTGGATGGGGGCCGCAGGCTTTGGGAAGAAAGTTAGCTGAGGGATGGGTGTCCCCTTCCTGGCTCTTTGCCTGCGGTGCACATTGGCATCTCCTTTTTTCTCAGACACCAGCAGGTGCCCTGGAGCCGGTAAGACTGCGTGCGGGATAGCCACTGTCCAGTACCGATAGGCGGGCATGATGGATTAAACCCTGCTTCCCTGCCAGCCCAAGGGAACGGGAAGGTGGGGACATGGAGGTAGAGGGCAGAGCTATGGGCAGCCATGTGTCTCGTCACCAAGCCACACATGGAGGAGTGGAGCAGTTGTCTTCACAAGGCCTTCCCGGCTTTGACTGGACCTAACCAGCATCCTTGGTTCATGGCAAGAGGTTTCAAAACAACAGCATGTATCTTTTCTCTGATTTTACTTGAAAAAAGTAAAATGTTGAAATATTTCAAGTATTCAGAGAAGTGCAGAGACTTGGCTAAAACACTGGCTCGTGTGTCCTCCCACCTCCCCTTCCTTCCTCCATATCTTTCGGGTTCCTTTCTGATGCTGCCAGTGACATGTGTCTTACTAACTGTGAAAGGTGCTTGTGCTGCTTTATGTTGAAATGACCAGACTTCTGTCCTTGGAAATTTTCAAAATGTGGTCTGCCAGGAATCTAGGCCTACACAGAACCCCATCCTACCCACTCTCTGAGGATGGTTGGTGCTACCTGGATCTACCCTCACCTATAGTTCCTTTTGTTCATTCTCTTGTTCTGTGCTTGCTGTCCATCTGCTTTTCTCTCCTTTCAGTTTCAAGGAGCTGTGTGTGTGTTTAAATCCCTCTCTGCAGCTGGTTCAGGACTCTGTAAATGGGCAATTCAGTTGGTCCTGCTTGGCCCAGCTAATACTGTCTCTCCATCCCATGCCCTTCCCACGAAGAGGTCTGCTCACTTAATCATACCTGGTGCCATGTGCAGATGACTCACTCTGTTCAGAACCTCTCCTTTCTCTCCAAGCCAATATGCACCTTCTCTGTGTATGTCAACCTCCCTGGAGGAGAGAGGCGAAGGCCATTTGATTTTGTGTCTCAGGCTTACAGTGATGGATAGACAGCATGTGTCCAACCAGCCTGAGGCTCTCTCTCAGGTTAGTTAACACGGGAAGGCCCACTGACTGACAGGTTTCTAGTCATTTATTCTCTTACTGTGGCCATTTTCTGGGTCCAGAGTTCTACGGTATTTTAGCCATGTTGATGGATGACTGACCACGTAACTCTCCGTTTCACTCTGAGCCTCACGATGGCTTACAGGAATCTATGTGGGCAGCTCACGCCTCAGAAAGGCTGATGATGAGCTACCACCCTGAAAGGGTAGGGCTGAGAGACTTGCTGGGTCGAGAGGCTGGAGGAGAACCCAGGTGAAGGAAGGATTGGGGATGGTGGGGCAGGAAACATTGGGAATTTGGCTGAAGAGTTTGGAGATTTGGGGTGATTGGGGGAACAGAATGGTCTTTAAAACTTACAAACTGGGACGGGATACCTGGGTGGCTCAGCGGTTGAGCGTCTGCCTTCGGCTTAGGGCGTGATCTTGGGGTTCCAGGATCGAGTCCCACATCAGGCTGACTCTACGGAGCCTGCTTCTCCCTCTGCCTATGTCTCTGCCTCTCTCTCTGTGTCTCTCATGAATAAATAAACCTTTAAAACTTAACATCATGGATTGGTACACTACAAATAAGTGACTAGGAAGGGAAATAAAAAGACCAAGGAGGTCCAGAATGTAAGCCTGCAGTTTTAATAGTGGATCGATTCAAAGACGGAGAATTCTCCTGTCACATCACCATAAGAGTTTCCAAAATGTTTACCTTCCATTTCGGTACTTAATCTCCATAGGTGAAGCACTTTGTGGACCGGCTCTGCTCTGTGGACTGCCCTCCCCCTCCACTTGGAGTAGTACTTATTTAGGAGATGTGGGTCTCTGCTAGCCCTCCCCCCCCTTTAAGATTGATTGCTTGGGAGAGGGAGACTCTCCAGCCGACTCCCCACTGAGCACAGGGCTTGATCCCACCCACCTGAGATCATGACCTGAGCCAACACCAAGAGTTGGAAGCCCAACCCACAGAGCCACCGAGGTGGCCCCAGCTCCATGTCTGTTATGCTATGAGACCCACCCTGACCTCTCTGCATCTTGTTTTTTTATGCTATAAAGTAGAAGTCGGTTTGCACAACACTGTTCTCCCTGATAGGAAATGAGGGGCCAGAAACAGATGCTT